AAAGTCGAAGGCTGCACGTGTGAGCGAATGGAAAAAGATGTGCGTGTGTGTGTGCGTGCGCTCGCGTGTGTGTGTGAATGACAGCGTTTTAACTGTACAGAAGAATGTGTGACATGTTGTTTTTCTCCAGCCACACTGATACTAGGACTCGGTTTTTCCCATGATGGGCTGAGGGAGGGGCGTTGATGCTATTCAGTAAAAAAAAACAATCTTTTTTTTTCTGACAAAGACAAAAAAGCTGTTGCTGTAATTGAAACTTTTTTTTTTTTAGTTTGTTTCTGCTTATTTTAATTTATTTTTGTACTGTGATGGAAAAAAAATAAAATGCACTGATCGTTCAAGGCCGTCGTTTGTCTTTTTGTGCCTCCGGCGGTGGATTAATGTGTGTGAAATCTGATATTAGCATCTTCTTTCTTAGGGAAAGAGCTTTATTAGGTTTGTGTGGATTTATCCGTGGAAGCAGCCCAGTAAACACCAAAATCTAATCTGGTCTAAAACGATAGCTTGACAGCTAGCTCATGGGTGGTGACACAGTATGGTACGTGCCTGGCTTGCAGTCTATGGAAGAATTCTGCAACAGCAAAGATGGTTCATTTATTTGAAAATTAATTTAAACAATGCATCAAAATAACTACCAAGTAAGTGCCCAGAGCTGTTATCAATAAGTCTCCCAGCCTTGAGGAGAATTATGGTAAATACTCAGGACTTCCAAATCAATAAGTGATGCTTCCAAGATTTCAAAAGTATGAAGTCAGTTGAGCACTATGCAGCTGTAGCCCAGACATGTTGCAGGACTATATTTATTTGTATTTTTATCTTTATCAATTTTCAAATTGTCAAGCAATTAGATACAGTTTACTTTCTAGATCCTGTGATAGATCTGTGATTTGTCCGGGGTTGCCTCAACTGGTATAAGAGCTGAATTAAATGAGTGGAAAACAGATGGATGGATCAATGATTCCTAGATCGGGGGCTTAGTTTGTAGTGAAAAATGTTCTGTAAGCATTAGTCACATCACAGGCATATATCCCTGTTGTTTGCTTGTTACACCAGAACAACAACCAGCCCAGCAACAAAACAGCTGCTTATACCTTTGTAACATGTTTGTTTTATGGGCTTTGAATTCTTTAAAAATCGTCCCAAATCTTTTCCCATTCAGGTGAATGAGAAGGCTAGATTGGGCTTATGAACTGTCAGAGTTGGAGGAGCAGAGAAGTTTTTCTTCAACATGATGTTTGCAAGCCCACAATTCTCACTCTAGAGCAACAATTCCTCAAAACCAACAGATCTAGACTTTTTAATGTGGAGGCATTTGACTGACAGGGTGCGATAAAGCTGAAATAACCTCTTCTGGTAAATTCACCCAACCGCTGATCTGTAGAGCAACTTTTTTCGGGTTCATGTTTCTTTTCTTTTTTCTTTTTTAAATAATTTTAATGAGACTTGTGGTTCTGAATTTTAACTTTCTTTGGAGTGAAATATTACCCAGATGTCTCTGTGTACACACAACAACATGACAAGAATAACTAACTGCTGGGGCACTTACACGCGTACACACACTGACAAGCTGGCTGACTTGAATATAATCATTACATTGTTTAATTTAAATCTCCTTTCTCTGTTTCTTTAACCGTCCATTCTTCTGATTGGTGGAAGCAAAGACTTGTCTCTTTCTCAATCAAATGTTTGTCCTGCAGACAACTTCAACCCATCTTAAATTTTTTATCCTTCTGTCACAGTCACTGACTGTTTGTGACTTTTAGTGTGGATGTAAAGTATGGAAAAACCAAAGCGGCTCTATTATTGAGTCATTTATCTAAGCTCCATCATCCTCAGTTTCTTAACAGAAGACCAATATACTTTAAAACCCTCATTTTTACACAAGAAGCTATTCTGTTGAGCACAGCCATGTCTGATTTTCAGAATAAAGGCTCTTGGGAAACAGGATTCTTTAAATTCTCAGGATTCTAATGTTTGTTTTTTCAAAATAAAACCCCCCAGTTATTTATTAGATCTTGTCATGATGCCTTATTGTTGTGAAATTTAAGATAGCTGGCCACTTAATTAAGGATAACTGTGCTGAGCCATTTTATTGGCTACACCTAAAGGCTTAGTGTACATATGTCTTAAAATCGCAGCACAATTTCTGTAAAACACATACACCGTCTACTTAACTGTTATAACTTTGGCAGTCACTTTTTTCTAAAGTTGCAGTCCGTTTGGCCTCTCAGGGCCACCGTACTTTTACCCACCACAACCAGCTGCTTCTTATACACACATGTGCTTCTTTGACTACTCTTCCAACATATAGTTAGACTCTGTGCTATCACTGCTAATGGAGTCTTGTACTATCAATGATCCTGAAAGTGATCAGTCAATATGAATGAGCTCACTGCTAGTGTCTTACAGCAAAATTGTCTTCACTGTCTTCCCTTTTTGTCTTGGATCATAGATCAATAATAATTTAGTTCAGCTTTATTCAGTCGTGCCCATTCAGAACCATTTCGTGAGCATTTTCTGCTGTAAACCTTTTTGATTTGCAGCCAGTTTGTGTCCAGTGGGACAAAGTGGACTTTTATGCCAGCACTATTTAGACACCACTCGCTCATAACAACACTAAGATTACCTATGAAAACACGTGCCATAAAGGGAGGAAATCTGCTTTCCTGTAAGACTTAGAAAACAATAGTAGGAGCCTACTGTATAAATTTAAAGTCATAACAGAAGATGGTTTGTTTAAGCTGTATATTGTATTTCAGTTCAGTTCATTGAGGACTATCTCATGAGTGCCCTCTAGGTGAATTGCAGACATTGTCAGAACAATATTAATAGGAAGTGGAATTGCCCTCTGTACTAGGTTCAGTGTTACTGAGCCATAGGAAAATATAACTTTTAATTTCCACACCTGCGTTTATATCTGAACTGGCAGTTCATGCTCTGTTCGGCTCTCTTTTACTGTGTTGGCAAAACTGATCCTAGCCTCCACATCCACAACTAATGTTCTTGAGCAATGACCTTGAAACCCCCACATGCGGGACAGAGACATACGTGCTATAAAACTGTTGGTGACAGCTGTAAATATACAGAGTGCAACTTTGTCATCCATAGTTTTTTGTATCAGGTTTTCTTTTTTTTCTAGATGTGTGGGGTTTTTGAAAGACCTGATTTGATTTCACAGATTAGAGTAGCCTCTCTGATTGTAGGTGTTAATATGTGTAACCAGATGGTCTGCACATTACCGTTGATGGCTTAGGGGCAAGACCGGTCAAATTAAGGCTACTTAATTAAGAGCCATGTTTCCTTTGCTCACCAGTGGTGTTAAAAGATAAAAATCTATCATATTCTGTTGTGTGCTGATGGAAATAGAGTCAGCAACAACAAGCTTTTTTTAGAGACTGTAGTAGAAATAGAAATGTAGTGGAGTGAGGCTGTCATCAGTCCACTGAGATCATCCTGAGCCTCAGTGATTTATGCTTTACATTACTGCAAACCTTTTATTCAACAATCGCAAGCATAAATATTTTCTCATGTTGTTAAAGAAAAGCTCAGTCAGCTATGTTTTGTGTCTTCCCAAAATAATCAGCAATAATTGTCATTGTCAAGAACAAAAACACCTCAGCGCAATTAGCAATTTGAAACCTCTACTTAAGTTCTTAACAACTTGCAACTGGTCAGGAAATATATACATTTCCTTTGTAACCACGTGGTTGATAATCGCTCTCTTGGCAGCATTAAAAAGCATGTTTGAAGCCTGGTGCTAAAAATGGGTTTGCCCTTTATGGAAAGCTTCCGCCTTCATAGCAACTGTATATTGTGTGAAATCTTTAATAACTGGAATTAGGCGTGTGCCCATTTTGAACAGGTGTGCCGACACAGACAGCTGTCTGCTAGGCTGCCATCCATCTTCTTCCACTTATCCAGTTCGGGGTCATGGGTGCTCTGGAGCCTTGCGCAGCTGTTGCCAGTCTTGCGGGTGGCAACACAAATCATTGATTAGCCTAATGAGCCTGTTTTTGGACTGTGGGTAAAAGCTAATCAGGGAGAAGAGGTAGCCAGTAGATTTGAACCCAGGACCTTCTTGCTGCAAGACACCAGTGCTAACCACTGTGTCACTGTTTATAGAGCCATTGTACAAATAATATAACTTACTTTGCTGGCAAGACATTCAATAACTCCATATTCTAGAAATTAAAATTCTGGTATTTTATTAGTTTGTTGCTTGGTAGGCATCTTGAAGGCATTTACACCTGAGCTTTGCACCTGTACACTTTATAGATGCTTCTCGCTATAAGTAACTCCTAATTCCACCATGTGGCTCCAATAAGCAAACCTGGCACTGACCAAAATGTCAACACTGAGGCTTCAAAATTCAAGTCCAAAACCAACTGGTAACATTATTGTGGCTCGGTCCTTTTTTAGTATACAGTCTATGTTTTTAATGTATGGCTGTATGTTTAACATCTCTGAGTGATAGTCAGAGTCTATCTTTGCAGAACAGACCCCAGAAATGTAAATCCGTACATTACTTCACATGTACTGGAAACCTCCCACACCGAGACAGACGTTTCTGGGTTAGTTTGAGCTCTGCTCATTCATTTACCCAACAGATCAGTCAGTCCGGCCTCAGTTAGTCACTGGCCTTGAAGAAAAGTAGACTCATCCCACTCTTTTCAGCAGATAGTCATCCATCAGCCAGTGGATTATAAACCCCTGCTGAGATAGCTGATGATGGCTGGTGACACATTGGCGGTGGGAAGTGGTGTTGTCATGCCAACTGCAGAGGTTTTAGCCGTCTCGACGTCAACCGGAGAAACAGCTGTTAGTGGGTGGATTAACACTGCGCTCTGCCCAGCTATTACCGCATCATGTGTTAGAGACTACGACTGGGAAACAAAACATTAGCCTTTACATCATTTACAGATTAATGACCTCTTATCTGAGCATGCCTGTAGCACATGACGGCACACACATGCAACAAAAGCACAATGGGAATCACTTAGTGAAGCAAATAAATTTATTAATAAATCAATTATTGAAATTGCTTTCATTAAGAAATATAACTAGCATTCATACAGAATATTACAGCATTTCCCTTTAGACGTACCATAAATATATTACAGTATATTTATGGTACTAATGACATCTTACACAAATATGCAAAATACAAACTTAATATAAAATTAGGCACTTGCTGAACGAATGCTGCATACATACAGATTTAGCTTAAAGCTACAGACGACAGAATAAATTACAATAAAGAAAAGGGAATTTGTTTCACTTTGGCTAACATGGATGGGCTTGATAACAGAAACTAGAGACTGCATCTCACTGCACGCCACAATAAAGTGAAGAATGGCACAAGTCCATAAATGTTAACGTTCATATTTGATCTTGCCTTTGATTTTTATTCTTATGGTAAAACTACTAATCAGCATAAAGGAAAAGTAATTATCTTTGATTAGACTTGCACATCAAAGATTTTAATAAAAATCATTAAAGAATAAATTTTGTGATTTTTCCATATTAATAAATCCCATGAAAACCCAACAGCCAACAACACACTGTGTACATATCCAAAAACATGTGCCATCCAGATCACTGTATTACCGGGCGACATGTCCCTCCATTAAAATGAATGCACAGACTATTTTGTGCTGTATAACATTTATTGCACTAACTGTGCATCAATGCATTTCTGATGCAGTGGTTACATCCACAACGACTGTATGTGTGCTTCAGTAACCTTTGCTAAATCTACAATGCCCAAGTACTGAAGATTATTGTGAAAATGAAATTGCATGTTTGTCATCTACACTACATGACATCAGATATAGTTTTCAGTCATGTTCCCAGTGCAGAGCTGTGGAGCACAAAACACACTTGATCCACTGCAGACCTGCAGCACTAATTTTCCATCAGTTTCAAAACACGTATGTTTAAATAACCTCAAGGTATAAAAAAAACAAAATACAGGTGAATGAAATGTAAGCTATTGGAGGGTTAGTTATGTTTTATATATATATGTTTTTTAGGTTCTATAATGCTTCCATCTGGAGCTGAGGGCATGAAATTCTGTCAAAGACAAGGTGAGTAAGTATGTGTGTCAGTATTTACAGACAGTAAAGAGGCAGAGCTATTCTGGATAGGTTTCCAACTTGAATCAATGAAATGGCCCAATACTGACAGGCTGGCTGTGAAGTTGAAGGTGCTGAAGGTTTGATTTGGCCACTGCTCTTAATTCAGAGACTATAATTCACATGTAGTTGTGAACAGAGTGGGTAGTCATTAGTGCATCAGATTTAATAACTATTCGGAAATGTGTAAAATCAAAGCTGGTAAAGACGCCTGTCAAAGAGCACAGGTAAGGTGAGTGTTCCTATAAAGATGTGACAAAGCTTTTCACTGGCTCCAAGACAAAGAGATCTTCTCCTTTCCTTCATATATATTAAGATCTTTGTCTCTGTATTTAAAGGAGCTTTGTTTCTGATCGTTTAGTTCCTGCCTTGTCTTGTTGCAGGTGTACTCTCCCTCTTTATTGCCACACCTCTCGACTCCAGGATGACTGAAGAATTGTATAAACCTGAAGGATCTTCATCGCCTTGCAGGATGGTACAGCCAGCCTAGCTGGGCAGGCAGCCAAGTGATTTGACCGAGGAAGCAAAAACAGAGAAGGAGGGAGGAATGGGGGCAGGGAGAGAGGAGAAAAGAAGCAGAGCAAGTACAGGAAAGGATCCCGGGCAGGGCTTTGTTCACCAACCCCCTTTAACTTAAGAAAGCAACGAGAGAAGCGCTGAAGTGAGAAGTGACACCGAGTCCATCCTAATGATGAGCGGTGAATAGCCGCGCAGAGAGGAGGAGAGGAGAGGACAAGCCCTGTGGGAGATTACTGCATGTTGGAGGATATGGAGAGCTGCAGTGTTATAGCTAACACACACACACACACACACACACAGACTTTGCTGAGCTCCTCTGAAAACCACCTATTAGCGCTGCCAATGTCACTTCCTTAATCCACACCACGAATGCACCAATTTCCCCAAACAACTCTGTGTCTTATCAAGCAACAGGACAAGGTCATCCAGCAGAAAAGCTCTGAGGTAAAAATGGGGGAGAGGGGCACTCACAAGCTAATTTAGATAAATGACTTGTTCATACAACACTCAGACACAGTCAGAGAACTGTGGCTAAAACGACTGCTAACAAGTTTTCCTCTCAGTTGTGACGAAGCCTGCCTCTTCAACTAGGGCAGACACAGAGGGAACTCCATTGCTAACCTTGGGCTGTTGTTCCTTAACCCAGATTCTTTCCTGTGTCTTTACACAGAGACAATGCAGCCCTGTGACTGTGGGCAGAATAATTATATAGTACTAAAAGTTTCCAATAATCTTTGGACTCAACAAAAGCATCCGACAGCATAACTGTTCCTTCCCTATTTTAGAACCAACCTGACTTTCATTAGCAGATGTTCTTGAATGCATCTTTCTAGCTATAAAAATGTTGTTGTCAAGCATTTTTTTCTTAACAAGTAGAAATGTCATCGGCTGATCAAAATTATGAACTTTTATCAAAAGACCCTGAAAAACCAACTAAATGAGGTTATGTGTGAATGATTTTAAAACTGCCAGAGTCAAGAGTTTTTACTTTTAAGCTTATATATTTGTTGCATGGTAGCAAAACTGTATTTACACAAGAAAAGCAAAGAGTGTTGTTGCTGACTGATGATGAGCATCAGGCTTTCATCGACTGTAGTTTCACAGCCATCTGTGTTTACAATTCAAGATCTACTCTGCAGGAAGCTTCCTGGTTTTGTTTGTACGTGCACTGCTGAAAACCACCGAAATTTGAATATCACCATCCAATGCACATAAAGACAGATATTGCAATTTTTATGCTGCCACACTTTGTTGTAATTAATCTAAAAAACACAAAAACAGCATATTGGAATGTGCTAACAATGGACACTCACCTAACAGCTTGTAAGAACATTACAAACCAGACCCAGAGCCACTTTCACGCGCTGATGATTAATTAGTACAATTTGGCTTTTCACACTTTGAGAAGTGTGATTAATTTTTTTTAGTGAGATAAGATGTAAATGAAGTCTCTGAATAGACCACAAAATATACGAAAAGTCATGGGGACAGCAGTCTGACTAAGGACGTCACACCCTTCTGTCCTCGCTCCTTCTTGGTGGCTACCAGCCAGCCTCTCTGAGCCAAGAAGTGAAGAGCGAAAAGAGCTAATCAACACACACAGACTCCCTCAATCGCACTCACACACACTCACTCTCCTTTGATGAAGGGGATATTTGTCAAGTGGAAACCTATTCCAAAGGACTAAGGGCCACTACAAGTCATCAGGCTATTCACTAGACACAAAGACAGCAAATGAGAGTGCATTTAGGAGCTGGAGTTCACATGGGATTATACAGTACTGGCCAGTAAGAACACGAAGTCTCACGTTTGGAGAAAATATGGACTGAAAACACTTGTAGGGAACAAAGTAACGCTTATGTCATCATCCACTTATTTGACTTTTGTTAACGAGTTACAGAATCCCTGTTTACACCACATGCAGTGTAAATTCTGCATGCACACATATTTGCACTGCTGTTCACAAACAGCACGTTCTAACCTCACATAAGCAGCGTTAGCGTGTTTATTATAAAACTGCAGACATCGCACAGAAACTATAAGATTACAAGATTAAAATTAGTAGATTTTTTCCGTGTTGCTGGCTGCAAAGTTCAGGATGTGCTCAACACATCCAGCTCAACACCCTGTGACTAAAACTAAAAGAAAAATGTGCTATTTGATTCTCGCTCACTGTCCTTTTAAGTGATTGTGACTATTAAAACAAAAACTATAAGTGGACAACCTTCCACTCACCGCTTACGCAGGCAAGTCTGCAACTAAAGTAATTATAATTAAAGTTATTTAGAAAACAAAAACAGGTTTCTACTGTTTTAAAGCAATTTAGATGAATCAAAGTCATACATGAATTTTCTCTTACTTAATTTTTTATGGTTTCACTTTTGATGTGGCTCCTACACACGGAGCTGCAGGGATTATGAATTGCTGCAAAGCCTTTGGATTTTATTTTTTTTTGTCTCTTATGCAACATCAGTGGTTCTGAGAACAGTTGCTGCATAATCTCCTCTCACCTCCACTCAAAATAATCAATGCACAATGAAAAAAAAATATTGCACAAAGCAAATCATTTCAATTTTTGATTCTAAAAAAAGAACAAACACCTCTTTGGTGCATAATCATATAGTGCATATAAAAAAAAAAAACGCCTAGAATTCAACTGAAAATTCAAATTTGGCATTGCTTTCCAAACTGAGGACCGAGCTGCTCTGTCACATTATTAGCAGCTCTGCAAAACAACACAACAAGTGAATCATCATCATTATTATTCAAGACAGCTTCAAAATCAGCTGCTTTTTCTGTCTCGGCCCACTTTAGTTGCCAGGAACAGCCAGGATGTACCCAGACCGGCTCTTGGTGAAGTCCGGCTGCGACTGGTTGATCTTGGGCTCAACGATGACCGTGCACTTTCTGCCATTCATGCTGCACTGGATGGGACTCGCAATGTTCACCTGCAGCTTCCTCTTCTCACTGTGGAAGGAGAATACAAAGACAGAAATACCTGTTAGAATTCAGACAAATTACTGAACACTGATTAGACGTTCTTAATGAAAATATCTGCAAACATAACCTCAGATTATTAGTCTGGTCATTACAATCAGAAAATATTTGCAGCCTCACTGGTTTCACTGTTTAATGCACAGAGATAAAATAAGCAGATCCATTAGTAACCAGAATGTGTGTACGAGGGAGAGCACAGGTACAAGCCATTAATCATGTTTACTCCATCATAATCTTGGAAATACACCACAGTCACACACACACACACACACACACACACACACACACACACACACACACACACACACACACACACACGCTCATGTTGTAAATGCTCTTACTGTATATGCACAGTCACACTCACACAGTGATAATAAATCTTGGAGCCACAAATCTTGCTCAGAAAAAAATCCTCCTTAGTCATGCACACTGTCAGACTCACACATGTACACACAGACACACTTTTATGAAACCAGGTACTGTTGTGCACAACAATGACAGAGCATATAAGACAGAAAAACTGCTTTTAAGTGAGATGGAAAAAAATACCAGAGGGAAGTGATCCAAATATACCATAAAAATAAATTTTTTTAATTCGTATTTATTTAAAAAGGGACAATGCAATCTAACATAGTCCTCATATGGAGCATGAAACTGATGTGCTGCACATACAGTCTATAGCTATTGCTAATTTCCAGCTCTTGTCCATTGTTGGGCTTTTACATCCACGGTCTACAAACAAAATTACAACATAATAATTCTGTGTAATGCTTAAAATAAAAGTCAGAAAAGATATATGATTAAATTAAGATGTATAAAGTGAAATAAAAAATCTAATTAAATTATAAAGTGTATTAAATTAAAAACACAGTTGAAAGACCTCGAGTTGCTTAAACTTGAGGTCAGATTATTAAAGAGTTTTGGGGAATTATTAGCAGCGGCTAACTTGCCTTTTAGTTTTGAACTCAGGAATCAGCTTAAAGGATTGTGGCAGAAGATCAAAGAGATCCTTTGGAATTTTATTCACGTAACACCAACTAACAGATGTCACCCTGGGTCACTTTACATAGAAAGTCTTATAGAGAGAAATCTAACAATCCCCCACTGTGCACTCAAGCAACCACAGACTTATTACAAGGTCAGAAAGGGACAACAAAAACCCCATCAGCCGGTTCATGTGGAGATTTTAAATTTGGAGAGAGGAGGAGAAATCCAGTCTACTAAAGAAAAAAAAGCATGCACTAACTTGCAGTAGTGTACAAAATGTGATCTTTAAGTTTAATGACTTCAGCCGTAAAATTCAAAAACATTATCTGATTAAATCTAGCTGATTATGCTTTTTTTTTTCTTTTTAGATTGCTTCATCCTGTCGCCTTGCACATGTGCCTCTGTGATGTGCATTCAGTGTGTCAAAACAGAAACCTGCAACTGGGATTAAATTTGCTGAACGAGGATGAAGCTGCAGATAGTCAAATGTGACGAGCAGGTTTCGTGATGACCCAAGACTCAAATAAGTGTTTGACCCTGAGGAAAGAATTCACAGTGCACAACCCCGCTGAAGAATGACAAGCATGGCATGAATACTTATCATAGAACTAGTTCTTATTACTAGTGATGACTCTCAACATGAAAACTGATCCATGGTGAAATTACATAGTGCACATCCAAGTGTTGAGGGGACCTCCATGGAGTGACAGCTGTGCTGGAAGCAGTCCACAACTGCACAAGGAGGGAAACCTCCAAGGGGAGATCGGCCAAAATGTGTTTTTTGCAGCAAAGATTCGATCGCACCTCACATTGGATATGTGATGCAGACTAGTTTGTAAGCTGAATCTTTTAAAGACCTGTATGGTCAAGACAGCAGAAACACTGCCGCTGCACCCTGTTCAAAGCCACAGCACGAAAATACACGGGTACAGTAGAAACACTGCACACCCATGTAGGCGTTTTAAATTACTGTGGCTGTAAACGTTACAGACCTACTCTAATGTCTGTGTCATGTGATCTAGTGTCAAATCAGTCTAAACCTAGAAGTGTGACTGCTAGTAGTGTATAAAGTATGCTAGCATTAATAGACAGCAGCACTAGTAGTAGTGGCTGCAGTTAACTAAGTTTTTGCAGAAACTTGCAGAGCCTTTTCTACTCGGAAGCCACTGAAAACCATCTGAACTATATTTCTATAAAAGGGCACACATAGTATTTTGTTTACATGCTGCTCAAATGGATCATTAAAGGTAGTAAATGGCCAGTATTTGTGCACCAATTTGAAACGAATACTCGACGAGTACAAACTGGCACCGTGCTGGTTTGGTCCTGGAACGTGCTCGATGATCCAGGCTGTCAATCAAAGCACGTCTGTTTTTCTCACCTGAACCCTTAGACGACAGCTATTCACTCTAACAACAAAAATAAAAACTGGTGTGTAGGTGGACCGTGATGTGAAGCTATTTGCTGGAAATGTCAATTAAATACAACTTAACATGATAGCTGCAGACTGCCTGCACTCATTCTCACCCAATAACAATCACACGATGTAGTATATAAAATATGGATGTAGCCTCTGGGTCTGAAAAGTAAAGTTATTATAGATAATGCATTAAAACTGGTTTCCTTTTAATGGAAAACAGCAAGCAACTTCTCTTGCTAAAAAAGTGCATAAAAAACTAAGTAAACACTTTCCTGATGATTTTATGGTGTCAGTCACTAGTTACAAGCTGCATGTAATGCTGACAGAGTGCAGTCTTTAAGATTTCTAGTCATCACAGTGAACAAGGCTTTAGTATTACGTGTGGTCAAACGCTTGGCAAGTTGTAAATGTTTGCAGTACTGGGCAGCTGGCAGGCTAACAGCAGCCAAAATGTTGCAATGACTCATTCATTTCTGAATATAACTAGATGTAAGTGTAAAACTTGCAATTTCATTTGAGCTAAATGTATTCACTTTGCTTCTAAATATTGAGTATAGTCAGTAGTTTAGTAGTTGACAGGACTGTGTTGCTAAGCTAAGCTAAGAGGCTGGCAGATGCAGACTTATATTGGTGAGTATGATTTTGCTGTTGGACAAACAAATATTCCCCCCGCCCAAAAAACAGAGCAGAAATATTCTTTTAAATGGAAAAATAAGTAGGCAGCTAAATTTCTCAGTTCCTAACTCTTTAACGATAAAAAATGAAGCTACAGGGAGCAACTGAATAAAGCCCTGGCGATCGCCATGACAGAATTTAATATCTGTGTGTGTGTGAATGTGTTTTTAAAGCAAGAATATATGTATGAGATGCTAACGTGCTATGGAAATAAATCGTGATTATGCTATGTGGGTGTATACGAGTGTATGTGGGAGAGAAATGTGTATGATTACGGTGCTGTGCATCTTAATAACCTTCAATACAGTGGAGACGTATGTACGAGCATGTTTCAGCTCACAGATTGAGAAAATTAAGATGAATAACAGAGAAGAATTCATGCAGCTCTGCTGTTGAAGGAATGATCCATATGGTGGTGCTGGGTTGGAGCACAGCAGTGGATTGGCTTTTAGTGCCTGTCACATCTAGTTAGACCCTTTCTGGGTGAACGGGTGCTCTGCCTCGTTTGCTCTTAAACAGGATCGTTGACGGGAATCAAAGAGTGAGAAGAAAACTGCATAAATCGTGTGGTTGCTGTTAGCAGAAAGCGAGAGAGAAATCCGAGGTGATGTAAATGTGAGGAGGGGAACGAGAAGATGAGAGTGATAATTGCTCTCTGGTAGAGGGGAAGATGGAAATGTAGACAGGAGGGCTGGCGACAGGAAGCTGAAAGCGTGATAAATAAATATGCATCTCTCTGTTCAGTCAAGTGCTTGTCTTGTCACACTTTCTTCAGTGGCACAATTACCGATCATGGCATAAACAAATTCATTATCCGCAATTACTGCCTCCCATCTCTGTCCCTGAAATGTGAACCGATAACGCCGACTTGTTGCACAACAACAAGAAGAAGAAGAAGTCATAAACAACAAGCGAAAGGCTTCTGCTGCCCACGCTGCACTCCTCTGCAGAGTGTGTGTGCAGCTCTCCATCTCCGCTTAGAGTGGAAAAGCTCAGACTACCACCGATGCTGGTTTCCATGGCAACCCCCGTGAGCTGAACTCCCCCATCTGTCATGGCTGCCAGCCAGGCAATGGGACTGTTGGTGTGAGTATGTTTAGATATGCCTCTCTCTCCGTCCATCTCTACCTCTCCCATCTCTACCGCGCTGCTGAATTGCCAGAGGGGATGCTGTGCTGTGCTCCGTGTGAAGGGCAAACAGGGTTAGGCTCACATAAACAGCAACGTACCCACATGTATACACACACATAATACCCTGTAACACACTCTCACAAAGCCAAAATGATCTCAGACACCTTTCTGATCTGTCAGCTCTGAATAAATACTCCAATAAAAACCAATAGAAGCCTTTATCTGTGAATAGAAAAACGTGATCAGTTGAGTCTTAAGGTCACTGGCTGGCCTTTCCCATAACGAGCCAGAGCCCCGAGGGTAGACTTGGTCCTTCATTGCATGGCCTCTCCGACTGGAAAATCAATTCTTTCCTTTACTCCAACCTCGCTCCCTTTGTGCGTCTTTGCCCTTCATGCCATGTGAGCCCAGCCTCACTTGCTTCCTAAAATAATTCCCTTTCACTAAGAAGGATGCAGAACAGGAGGAGAAAGGGAAAAATAAAGAGAAGGTGAACTGAAATGAGTGATTAGATGAAATGGGAGTGAAAATAAAACTTGAGCGCAAAACTGTGGAGGGTCGAGGACAAGTTTAAGTGTGATGAAAAGGAAAGACAAATATAAAATATGTAGAAAGTCCTATGCAGAATGGTATCTGAAAGGAAAAGTGTTGCAAAATGAAAAAGGGGGGAAGAGATGTTGGAAAGACTATTTTCAGGTCGAGAAGGCAGGATTACCTCCAGTCTGTTAAGCCATCCAGTCCCACTTCTGAGTCATCC